GGGTTCGAACCAAAGCTACTGGGTTCGGCCGAACCCAGTAACTACACTCTAGCTCCGCCCCTGTTGCCTCCGCCACTACCCCTCACCACACACACACACCCCCTGCTAGCTGCTAGTGACGCTCTTTGACACAATCAAGGGCGGAGGTAGGGTATCTTTTACAGGTTCGGCCGAATCCACTAATTTTTGCATAGACCCTGTATTTGTATTAGAAAATCTATTAAATTTGTATTAATATATAATTGCGAACACAGTAACTAAAATATGCTATACGTTCGGTGTCAAGTTCAGAAGCCACAAACTTCAATCCCCGTTCCGCCTTTGGATGCAATGACATAAAATGCTGTATATTCAACTAGCTAGTCAGTTAGAAGGTGTTAGGAATTTAGTAAGCGTGGATGTTCTTTAAAAGACGCAGCACGGATACAGAGAATTTAAATAACGGGCCCAAGATTTAGGGGATAAGCTTCATCGTCAAGAGAGAAATAGCTTGGATCACCAGCTCAAATTCCTAAACGACCGCTCAGTGATAAAGGAGGTAGGGATGCAGAGACAATTAGGAAGTTTGCCAAGAAGCTACCTATGAAAGAGTGCATAATAGCTCATTGATCCAACGCTCTTGCGTCGGAGATGAACGGCCTAAGTATGTCTGCAGAAACTGTGGGATGTAAAATACATCAGTAAAGGAGCATGCAACCTTAGAGAAGTCTCCACACGAACAAGGAATGTCGACTTGAGTAACACAAACATCTTTGAGCAAAGAATCTCTAATTGAATGATTTCTCGATTAATATCATTACTCATATTGAAACTTACAAAATCAGGGTAGTTAATTGATTGTTAATGTTTTTTTATGCAGCTGAGCACCTCAGACTACCCTACTTGATTGCCTATCTAGATTCCATTGGCTCAAATTTCAGGCATGGAGCCAATTTTGCAACAGGAGGATCCACCATTCGTAGGCAAAACCAGACTATATTCCAAAGTGGTATTAGCCCCTTTTCACTGGACGTTCAAATTATGCAGTTCCATCGCTTCAAAGCCAGAACTGAAGAGCTCTATAGACAAGGTAAAAAGAAACTAATGCAACTCAATCATTGACCTGTTACTAGCAAGTTACATCATTTAAGCTAATTTGATACAACTATAACTATGTCTCAGCGATAGACTTGTCAGAGAAGAAAAAACTCCCTCGTCCTCGCGAATTTTCAAAGGCTCTCTACACACTTGACATAGGCCAAACTGACCTAGCTGTTGGTTTCCGCCAGATGAGTAATATACAACTTCGGGCAGCCATATCAGACATAATAAACCAGTTCTCAGCAGCAGTTATGGTATATGCAACTTTATCAAAATGCTATCTTTGTTTCGTTGGCACTAATTATGAAAAAAAAATGCTATCTTTGTTTCATAATTTATGACAGCGTCTATATCAACAAGGGGCGAGGGCATTTTGGATACATAACACAGGTCCAATTGGATGCTTACCAACAGCCACATTATACCTCAGAAATCCAAAACCAGGTGTTCTTGATAACTATGGATGCTTAAAGAGCCAGAATAAGATGGCCTTAGAGTTCAATAGACAACTGAAAGCCAGGATAAGAACACTGAGGGCAGAGCTTGGGCATGCTGATATAACATATGTAGATGTCTATGCTGCCAAGTATGAATTGATCAGCAATGCCAACAGCCAAGGTATACGTTAGAGTGTATATATTTTTAACGATACTACTCTACCGATTACTTGCTATTTCTCATCAGCACTGATACCGGATAACTCTGTCTACCAAGACTTAGGCGGGTGGGAAGAAATCAACTAGCATCTTTTTATCCATGTTGGGATTTGAACCCTAAATCTGACAGCCCGGCTGACACCCTTGGGTGCCATTAGTGCATATTAAAAGAAAAAAAGGGCAGTCCGGTGCACTAAGCTTCCGCTATGTGCGGGTCCGGAGAAGGGCCAGACCACAAAAACAGCCTTACCCTGCATTTCTGGTTTCTGCAAGAGGCTATTTTCACGGCTCGAACCCGTAACCTCCTAGTCACATAGCAACAACTTTACCAGTTACGCCAAAGCTCCCCTTCCATTAGTGCATATTACATTCCCAATTCATTTCTTTATCTTTTGATCAAGGGCATTAGACTTTAAAATTTTGAACAGGTTTCATGGAACCCCACAAAATATGCTGTGGATTGCATGAGGGGAACACGCATGTATGGTGTGGACAGAAAGCAATAGTGAGAGGTGCAGAAGTGTTTGGAGGAGCTTGTGTCAACCCTTCAATTTACATAAGCTGGGATGGAGTACATTACTCGCAGGCTGCTAATCATTGGATTGCCAATCAGATACTTAACGGCAGTTTCTCTGATCCTCCCATTCCCATTACTCATGCTTGTCATAAACGTCTTCACTATTAGGACTGTTGTATTATAATCTGCACCTTAATTAGTGATCTTTATATCTATGTTTTAACTTTCTTTCTCTTTATTTTTCACATCATTCTTCTTAATATAGAAAGAAACTATCAAGTTTCTAATATAAAGTCGACGACGAGCTCCCTCGTTAAGGAATTGGGTAACAAGTGGGAGAGAGGTTCCTTCACTACAGCAAGGGAGAGATTCCTCCTGTAGAGTCATTTCAGATCAACTCAGGGGCTTAATAAACATAGTACAAATTTACAGCTCAAAATACTACTAGGATTTTATTTTCATGTCCAACTACTGTACAGCAAGAACACTAGAATATCATACAACAAAGATATTTTTGATAAATACATTGCACGTCAAAGATAATGTGTTTTTTTTTTTTTTTTTGATAAGTAGCAGTGCCACTAAATGCTAATAGGTTCACAGCTCACCCTTATAAGACTAGATACATACAGCAGACGGTCCAAATCTAGCAACTCTGGACGTGTTAAGAGTCATAAATAACTACTATATTTCACTGGCGATGTCCATCTGGAAGAGCAACAACCTGGTTAAAGGGCACCAAGCGCTGAGGTAGAGACCCATCTTCCTCGTCATCATCAAACTCCAATGTATAACTGCAATATGGAAACAATGCATTAAACCCATGAAAAGGTATCATGACTCATTGGTCAAAAATTTGGAATGCAACAGTCAATTTCAAGAAAGAAGAACAAAGAAATATTGAGCTCGATGACTGCGAAACAGATAGGGATAATTCATTTCACTTTTCCGTTTAATCAGAAGTCACTGCTCAATTATTGAGTACTATAGAATCTTAAGTTCATCGCTAAGTTCTAAGAAGCCAGGTAAGGAAATGAAAATGAATCACTTACTCGTCAGTCTTCCTCTGGAAATTGATGTACCATTGGGACGATCACATGCAAATAAGTCAAAAACCAATCAGTTCCTCGGTACATATGATATTCTAAATAGCTCAATAAAGAATATCCAGACAAACTACCACAAAAGAAAACTAGATACGGTACCTTGCGAGCCTGGACTACTGTGGCTTTATACAGGGCTGTGGTTCCTGGGTAAACTGCCAAAACTTGTTTTCCAGGAGGGAATTCTTGAGTGGTTGCAAGATCACTTATCTTGGGAAAAGGTATAATATGTAACCAGGGTAGCTTGTATTTTCTGTAATTGGCAAAAGAATAGAACCAATAATTCCGGTAAGAAGGTGAATAATCATTTTGTAAGTAAAAGCGGTTGCTGAAGAAAAAACCATAGTTATGATGTAATCAGTTATCAGTCATCATATTCTTCAGTAGCAATACTAGGCCTAGAGTAAATAAGATGTCGCAGAATCTTAATCACAAATACCTACAAGAAGGTGCTGTGGACAGATTATTAGGAAGCAGTTTCAGTAACTTGCCGGACAGCTAGGAGTAACTTATGGACTACTTACACGTGGGTGCCAGTCAACAACCAATCACCAACAAATAACACAAAAGGACAAAATCTCATTGATCTCTATCATCCATCAAAGTACTAGAAGAGGGAAAAATATAAGTGACTCAAATTCTTCAATGAGCTTTTCCAAGTTGGCAGCTCAAAAACTGAGGCAAGTTTTTTCTGTGTGAGGTCACACCATGGGACAAAATATACCTCCTTGCCTTTTCTAGTTTTCTTTTTCCTCCAATTGATGAATGTGATTTGTTAGTCTCATGGGCAACTACAACTGACTTGTATAGAGGTCCCAGAAGGAGCCAGAAAATCTCTTAATCTCCCTCATTCTTCTACCTGCTATTCCCAAGTCTCTGTGCTTCTTGTGCCTTCTTAGTAATGGAAAGCATTCAATAATCCAATGCACAAAACGGTTGTTGTTGATGCTTAAGCATCGCATGAATGCAATTGCCCTCTACAATGATCAAGGAGGGAATAGATTTAATCATTCCAGAGCTGGCTAGAAGTAGAAAATGTAATAAATAAAGTGAGTCGTTGTGAAGTTGAGATCCGGTAACGGAACAATGCCTTACGTTATGTACAATTTGAGAAGTTCAATCTATAACATAAAATTGGAGTTGTCACTTTGATCCTAGGAAGTACCTGATAAGTACTCACTCACTCAGACACACGCACACACCCACCCACACACAGCCCTTCCCCAATATTTTGCTGCTAAATGCTCCACAAACAACCAAGATAAAATTACACGGAGGTCACCCCGCATCAATTTAATAAGTAGTCATCCTGCAACACCTTTTTAGTTCAAGTCTTAAATCACATAGTCAATATAAGACAATATCATGTTTAGAGAGTTATATCAGCATCATAGACCCTAAAATCCAAATCCAAGTGCCAAATCGGAAGACATGTTTGAGGTTTGCATCCATGGATATTGATGGTTGAAGGATCAATGAGCAAAGTAGTAGGGAATACAACCAAGATACAATGCATAAACAATCAAAAGGAAGCACACAAGCAAAGGTAAATGGGCAAAAACAATCAACACATGTCCAAAGATCGATAGTAAGGCTACCTCTGGGCACCACCTTCCTCATCCTCACCTGGCTCCTCGTCTACAACTTCAAATCTGCACGAAAGATACAATGTTAACAAAAAATATAGATGTTAATGAATCTTGTTGAAGACATAATTAAGTAAATACATGTGTGTTCTCTCTAACAATTCAAGCCTTTAGATGAGATCGTTACACACTTCAATATGGTAACAGAGCCGACAGAAGTCTTTGGTTCGATAGATAAAAGATTCACGTGCTTGACCCATTAAATAAAAAATCAGGGCCGCACACATGAGGCAACATGGTGAAGACATAATTCAATAGTTAAAAGTATGCTCCCTCTAGATGGTCACACACTTCAACAAATCCAGTCCTCGAGATTAACCTTTTAATATGAAGCTTTGTCACAAAACTTACTCTTTTGTTTCTTTGTCGTAATGAGTAACTTTAACAATGACCCACTCATCCTTTTCACCATCCTCTTGCGCGACCCTAGCAGCCACCTAGCGATAAAAGGTTTAACTATGTTATTGCCACCACGAAAGTTAAAGCTCACTCACCATAAGAAAAGTGCTTGAATGATATAATAAAACATAGGAAGGAATTATTCACTTCAACGAAAATCAATCTATACCTGTTCACCCTTCAGGCTAGCAAAGAACTCCTGCTGATTTCGCATTGAAGGAGAGAGCCGGGGAATGTCAGAATCACCTTTCATCCTCTTCTTTTTCTGCTCGTTGCCTTCTGTCATCCATGTAGATCCAAATGCATTAATCAAGGTGAAAACAATTGAAGTTGATGATCAGAAATAGAGTTGAGTCTATTAATTTAGATTTAAACAAGAACATACAATTTTTTTAATTTAGGCTCAAGAATAACTTGCTTTAAGGTATTACTTTTCCCTTCCTCATGTTCAAGGTTATGCATAAAGGCTACAGCTAAAGCATTATACAAGGGGGTGTGCTGATGATTTGTCGACGGTGTCGGGCTATCCACCAAGTTGATATTCGTCTCGCTTTACACTCCTTTTGGTACATCTCTTTTTTTTTTTTACCAATTAATCAACTTAATAAGGCAGATATGGGAAGTTAGAGAATTTTGGAACCATTAAGTTTTCCAGAAACATCACTGGAAGTTATGCTGTCCTGATACCCGAATCTTGTCCTAAACACATTAATAACACCACAAGACAAAAAAAACACTGTCATCTAATTAGCAGTGAACATTTTATTTTATTTTGTTGATAAGGAAAAAGTATCTTGACTACTAATTTATGACAAATTTCGTATTTTCTTTAATATCCCAAAGTATTCTGCCACTATTGTCCTTCTAAAGATTGATTTATCATGGACCTCAAGTTCAGGCTATAATTGCCATTCAAGTTCTTTAGAGGAGACAGGCACAGATAAAATTACTTCAAGAGAACATTGGTGAGGTACAGTGTGTGTCCCACAAGTAAGGAGAATCAACAATCAACATCCAGAAATTGAAGGTATTGTAAACCAGGTTTTAAATTTAACAAGCGTGAAGCTAGAGATTCAATGATTGCTATGGTAATCAATCATAGTACACACACCTATCCTTCTTCGCTGTTGCCCAGCACCTCCAGCGGGGATTAACACATCCAGCTGGCCTAGCAATTGGTTGGATATACTGCATTCACAGGGCCAGGAGGGAGAAAGAAATGAATTTCAAGTGAAAATGAAAATATAAAGTATCAGAATGAAACATAACATGTAAGAACAAACATCATAAATCTTCTAAGTCAAGCTGTCAAACAGAGTTGCACAAAGTAACACCATGAAGCTCCATTTGGACAGCATAGAAAGCTGTTAGTCAAAAGTAGCCCCACAGCTCTTAAACACCCTTCCAAGTGAAGAAACGGTGCAAACATAAATACCTCATCTCACTCTCGGAGAGCTCTTTGGCTTGAGTGTATAACATCTTAAGTTTAGACAGTGAATTGTCACCCGGTTTCTCAACCACTTCTGGAGCTGCACAAGGAATGGGGAAGTACGCAAACGGTAAGTGTCATAATATTTTAGAGTATAGATTGAAAGATACGAGTCACATGCAAGTTTCTAACTCAACAGGTCAATGATCTCCGCTAGTAAAAGTTCATGGTTTCTGGTAGTCATTGTCAATGCCTCATTTTATTACCTAACTTTTAAATTTTGGGGAAATCACACAAACTTGAATTTATAAGAATTTCAATTCTTTGTCGGACATAATAATCTCTTTATATCCTCAATTTGGATTTAGTCATAGGAGAAAACATTAGAATTTATTATAATCCAAGCATTGAGTGAATAAAGCTACCAAGACAACTTTAAACCAAGAAAGAACATTATAAAAAATTTCAGTTGCAGTTCAATTTGTTCTATCTGACAAGTAAGTAAAAAAGGAAGAGTAAATTGGCAAAGTGTCATCCAAGCAGTCAAAATTTTAAAACAGAAGTTGCTTTCTTTAAGCTAGAATCAAAGATGATAATGGAAAAGTAAGGCCAAAGCAAGTAACTTAAGAAACGATCATAAATTAAAGTTAGTACTGATGTGAATCAATTTATGCCATCCATTCTCGTGAGGGTAGAGAAATTAATTTACAATTATCTGGTATTTGGGGATTCTGTAAGCATAGAAATGGTAAACAGTGGGTAATTAAGCTGATAAGTTTGCATTTAATGTTGCCTAGATGCAGATAAGAAATCTAAAACATACTTGAAGGAGATAACAAAGAAAAGTTGTCCCACATAGAACAATCACTTTATCAGATGAAAGTAGGACAAAATATTTTATAACCAACACTGAACCAGATAAATTATCTGGTTGTAGTACAATCAGCAAAGAGAATTCACTTTATGGTTTTCAACAGGGGATTTGGCTTGACGCAAAAAATAAGTAATACATGGACTTAGATGATCAAGGAGCTATAAAGCAGTTGCAAGCCTCCACGTACCCCAAGGTAGTTTATAGAACCAAGGGAGGAAACTGATGGCTAAGTTATGAAAGAAAAGATGCAAAGATTCAAACCAATTCTGTATATTCCGACAACCCAAAATCTGTTAAAAGGGAACTCGAAGATGCCTACTTTACTTAGAAACCAATCATGTCGAAGCATAAAGACAACCAAAAATTAGTTGGACAAAACCCCCCATAAACCAGTAGCACCAAAACCTAGAACCTTTCAGTCTTAGGCTGTCGACCTTATTTTTGGTTAAAAGGAGTATTTAGTTAGCTAAAATAACATCTTGATTTTCAATAGATTAGTTGGCTCGCAATGAAATTTAGTTACAAGCTAATTTTTACTACAAAATCTTCAGAGGACGAGGAGGTCAGGGCTCATGGAAAATATTTCACTACCTCTATAATGAACAATTGTGGAACCTTCACATAGAGATCTTCCAAGGGCCTCTTCATCTATGCTCTCTAACAGTTACTTATTTTCTCATGCTTCCAACAAGCCACTCCATTTCTCATAGAACTCTAACCGGAAAATTTCTCACTAATTTTTACTTATACTAGAATTCCACTGCTGTAATTTGCATCAGAATACTTGATCATTCTATAAATCCAAAAGTACAGTATTATCACTTGTCACAAACTTATGTCAGCTTGATAACCAGACTGCCAAACTCTAATTTTACCACTTTAATATCGAAATCCACTTGCCTTACAACTCTTCAGCTTATGTGATGGTTACTGTATCACTGTTTTGGGGAACAAAATTTGAAGGGCAGGTGGACCCACTACTAGCCATTCCATAAACACTGTCGAATACAAGACCAATACACATCAAATTATCACTTAATGTTCTTCCTTTCTTCACAAAGTGTAGTAAATACAAAGCATTTGAGTTATCTGCAGTACATTGTAAAGATTGTTTTTACATCATAGGTTAGTTACCATTTTTACCAAGTTAGTAATTACTGTTTCTCATAGAATATACCTATAATTACTTTGTAAGTGCCCTGATCAAATAAATACTATAACTTTAACTCAAATATGAATTATAATAAAGGAATTATGGTAAAGCTTTTCACTTTCTCCATTACTCTAACAGTAATAATTTAAATGAGGAAAAGTTGAAATACTAACTGGATTGAAGCTTATTGTGCATCGTATTGATTTCAAGGAGTACTTTCTCTTGCTCTTTCCTTAAACGATCAAGCTCTTTCGATTTCTCCAACATTTCGGCAATGTCCGTTGACGACATCTACTTATTTGTTTTCCGAGGAGATCGCGATAGTTCCAGAAGCTTCTGGAAGCTTCGGTACTGAACCCAGAAGAAAACAATCAGAGCTCTAGCTAGATCATCATCGTCTTAGGTTGTCGGAGAAGACGCACGGAGTACTATTTGGAGATTAACTTCGCCTGTGAATTGCCACTGGTGCTTCCCGTGCGAAAAGTCCTGTTTGCCCCTCTGCTATTTTCTCTTTTGTCTGAATTTTCCTGCTACAACGGATAATTATCCCCGGTATAATATAATTTGAGGTCTCCTCTAATAAGAGAAATAAGGAATAATTAATGTTCGCATTGAATTTGAATTTGAGATGAATTTTATTTCACTTATTCTCGGATTGTAATATTTTTTTTTTCAGAATAATTAATTATGATATAATTTGTTTTCCAATCAAACAACCTCTCATAGTACTTTGTGTCGCCTGCCTTTTAATGTAAGTCTCTTAGTTCATAAAAAAAAAAAATGATTGATGCAACGTTTTTTACAAAATCATATTACGAATTCTTATTTAATTTCTATAAGTGTACACTAGTTTTAGCTTAGCTTGGCATTATTAACGTAAAAGTTTATCTAGTATCCACAGAACCAAGAGTGCAATTACTACTGACAATCAAAAAGATGATGACGAGACTAGTGGGGTCGTTTGGTTTGAATAAGGCTTGTGTCGGGATAAGTTATACTGAGATTGTTTTTTATCTATTGTTTGGTATGTTGTATTAAATATGACAATTACATAATTTGTAAGAAGCATGTATAAGTTATACTAGTGCTAATTACCCCAGAAGTATAAGTTATCACGGTATTAATTTTAATCCTGGGATAACTTATATCTGGTTTGCTAACCAAACGAAGTATTAAGGTGATATTAAATTTTATACCAGCATTATATCTTCTTATACCTCATACCAAACGACCCAAGTTTATATGCCGTAATACACAGGTTCATCTATCTGTTTAAATAACATTAATTTTTTAAATGATGTTGATATATTATTTAATAGTACTCATATAACGTTAATTTAGTAACAAAATGAGTTTAACTCGAGACACCTTACTAAGACACATAAAAATAACAACAAGAACAACCTAGTGGGATCCCTCAAGTGGAGTTGGGAGAGGGTAATGTGCATGAAAACCTTACCCCTATCCTGGACGATAGAGATGTTGTTTTCGAAAGACTCTCGGCTCGAGAGGAGGAATATGAACAAGTAAATAATAACGTCAAGACTAGGAAAATAATATCAACAATGTAAGGACTTGGGAAAAATAAATGGAAGAAAGCATTAGCAATAACAATAACAATATTTTAAAACATATTAATTAAATACAATTACTAACTAAAACACTTACCAAATGATTTAGCCAAACACAGATTTTCCACCCTGCAATTTAACATTGGTGCATTGTTTTGTCGGATGTTTTGTCAAGAAATGGACTGAAATTACACATATTTCTTAAAATGAAGGTAAAATGTGCTCATCCAAATATTACGGGGACTAAGCTGATATAATGCAATAACAAAGAGACTAAAGAAGCTATTTTCCGTATCAAGTAGTATTTGGGGTTTTAGATCATAAACCCTGGCTCGAATTTCTTTCTTTGGAACAGCTCGTTGGTCTTCTCTAACCCAAATCAGTCGCTTTTTTTTCTTCGTATCAATGGGAATTTACATCCAAGAGGAGTTAATTACGGATATTCTTAGTTAATTCTCTTCTTCGATTCAAGTGTGTTTCGAAAAATTGGAAGACAATAATTTCTGAACCACAAAAAATTCCAGAAAATGCTTATTCAGGCCATCTCCAACCTTGCCCCCATCCCTCGTAATGGGGGAAATATTTGGGGGAATTTAGCTCCAACTCCCCCCATTTTTGTCCCCAAAATGCGAATGGTTGGAGTAAGTTGTCCCCAAAATGGGGAAATTCCCATTTTGGGGACAAAAAATGGGGTAAAGGTTGGAGATGCTCTCAACAAAGCTGCAAAAATGATGGTACATATTTGATATTCCTTCTTTGTCGCGGCGTCGAATCTTTAAGGATTTAAAGATATCAACTTGTATGTCTGGGTTTTACAATATCCATTCTTGTTGTGATGGGTTGGTTTTACTTGGGATTAATTACCCTAGGGATTATATATTGTGGCTGTGGAATCCGTCGACAAGAGAGTCAATCGTACTTCCACAGGAGAACTTTATTCAAGATCATTTGTATGGATTGGGATATGACTCAACTACTGATGACTATAAGGTTTTAAAGGTTCCCTTGGGAGATGATGATGCGCCCAATGAAATTTTCGCTCTAAAAAGTGGTTATTGGAGAGAACTTGAATCTGGCTGTTGTTCTTTCTCCGAGGGTATGAATTGTTTGGCATTTGTACAAGGAGCATTTCATTGGATTAGTTCTTATTCAACGTGGACTTGGGTGGACGGGAATATGCATATTTTGTTGGTGGTGAAATCTTTTGATATTTCAAATGAGGTGTACCTAGACTTACCGATACCAAAGGTCTCAAGGTTTGGCATGACCGGCCTAGGTGTAACGGAGTTGGGAGGAATGCTTAATATACGTTGTGTTTATAATCGCTATGGGACTACTTCTTTTGATTTGTGGGTAATGAAGGAGTATGGTGTTGAAGCATCTTGGACTGAATTATTTTGTATTGGAGATACCACGGTTCCTTCAATCATACCAATCCTTCCGAAATATATGTTTGCAGATGGCGAACTGCTACTCAGCTGCAAAGAAGGAACCGTATTTAGGACATCCAAAGGACCGCATGGAATAAGCGCTCTAGTATGGCCTTTAGTTGGTGATGACAGTGATGAAAATACCTTTCTGCTGATGGATGGATTGGCTTACACAGAAAGTTTGATCTCTCCAGTAGTGAATCACTAGATTATGTTCTTGCTTAGGACTAGTATTTGCTTATGTATGATTAACACACTTTTAGTAGACGAGCTTGTTGCATATTTGGAGTGTGTTTTCTTCTTAGTAGTAGACTAGCTTTTGTAATTGGGCAAACACACCCTCTCTCTCTTTCATCTAAGTTTTGCTTGCATCTTCTTTTGATGCGTTTTAATGGAAGTCTTCTTACTTCATTAAAAAAAATGATTGAGGCGCTTTTAAATTTCTTACAAAATCATATTACAAATTCGTCTTTCATTTCTTATAAGTGTACACTAGTTTTAAGTTGAGCATTATTTAACTAAGAGTTTTATCTAGTATCCACTGACAGTACCGATGGTGCAACAAGTACTGGAAGTCCTGATAAAAAGAAGATGACGAGACCACCAAGTTCATATGCCAGGTGGTACCATTGAATGAGGAGGAATTACTGTGTGAGAGAACACTATCAGAGAAGGGCATCGCAATAGTGTACACTACACCACCCCTACCATAGGACCGTACTCCAAGTTCATGGCTGGAAATAGGTCTAATGGGACAAAGCTTGAACATAAGACTACAAAACAGGAAATACATGCTCTAATCAAAGTAAGTTATTCCAATTCTCCATGGTTACTATCTATGAATTTATGCTAGTATAATGTTATCAAGTTGGCCTGAAAAAATGTCATAAGCAGGCAGTGTTTGAATAGGAACCATAAAAGAGATCAAACCTCTTAAAAAATACATGCGGAGAATAGAGATTAAGTGTAAATTATTCCTCTGGAGAAGTTGGCCGAGTTACCCGTTGGTTGTGATATGCTCAAGTGCTGTACTAGAGCGTTAAAGATTACTTTATATGTTTTTTCTTCAATATAGTTGAAGATGCAACAATACTTCTCTGGTTCATAAAGATTTCACTATTCTTTTGGGGGTACTCGCCTTACTTCATCCATTTATCCAATTCCTTCTTCTTAAAGTTTATAAACATGGTCTTTAGTTAACCTGCATGTGGCAGTATACTGCCAAATTATATGTCATAAAAGAAGATATAGGGGTAAGAACTGTAGCTGATATGATTGCTATATAGTTAATTTTGTTCAGTAATGTCTAACAATTGGAGCATTTTGTGATATTTTCGATGGAAATGTTTTTGCTTTTGATGGGTGATATCTTCGATGGGGTTGTTGATTTGTGTGGAGAACTGACAATGAAAATTTAGTAGGATGATTTTGTGCTGTTTGTGTTGACACGTAGGGATGCCATAGGAACATTTACTAGGCCTATGGTTTTTAATTGATACAGAATCTGGTATTAGAAGCCATGGATTGTTTACCTTCCTTCAAGATTTTAGTATTTTACTATGTTTCATAGTAAAATTTGACATAGTAATGGACTAGTGGAGATGCCATACCTTGACTTCCTCTTCAGTTTCTACAGCTGGATTCCTTTGTATCATTATTTGGAGCTCCGAAACTATAAGTGGAAGAATTCTCGGTGGGCTTTAGATCATGGAAGAGTAATATTCCAACTCCTTTTTCACATTTCTGATTATGTCTCTGTTTGTGTTCATTTCATTTCTTGATATTGTAACTTTTTTTATTTTTCTTGAATATTTGCACATCTGAATAGTCTTGGAAGAGTAATATTCTAGCTCCCTTCTCAAAAGAATACTTCTTTCCGCAACGAAGAAAAGCCACCTCAGCACCGTCATGCTTAGTATGATTTTCATCCACAAAAAGATTCATTTTCTGTTTTGGTTCCTGCTGCTGTAGTTAGTTTCTTCTTATATTATTTTTTTTTTTTTTG